CTGGCTTAAAATTGAAACTGACAACTGACTCATCCGCGCCTTTGCATCCTTATTTAAATCTTGCATTCAGTCTTCTTCCATACTCAGGCTTTCTTTCTTGATCATTCATTTCCACCGAACCTCGGTGAGCCAGGTACTTCAAACACAGGGCACATTCATAAACTGCCTCTCGTTTTTCGCACTCGACTCTGTTATAAACATCCCTTACATTCGATTCTCTTAAACGTGGTCCTCTTCGTTCTATGTCCCCAAACACTCTTAACTCTTTTACTATGGTGACCCTCACCGCGGAGTCCCTTCCGTTAGAAAGAAGCACCGTGTCAAAGGTGGAAACATTACGCGCTCGCAGCCTTTAGTATTTGGAACCAAGTCTTTTGAAGGAAAACAAAAAAGAAAAAGAAGGAACGATCATCGCAATAGCGCTTGCAATTCTTTGTAAAGAAAGCTAAACGGAACGGGAGTACTTGTCTTAATTTTGGGCTCAATTTTTGTGACCGGTGACTATAGTCACTCATCGTGTGTAGAAGGCGTCTCGTGACCGATGACTATAGTCACCCGTAGTAGCGAAAAGATTAATATTCTTTCAGGGCCGTAATCGTACCATTCCTACATATATGACATAATAACAAAAGCTGCAGAGTATATTTGGTTTTGTTTAAAGGAAAAAACTAAAATTGAAAACGACCATGAAAACGAACCTTAATTCCTCCAAAAGCGATAGAAAAATAACGAAAAATAACGAAAATGTGTTTAAAACGAAACGTGGACGCCATCGCGATAAAGACCTTATCGAGCGGAACAAAAGCTGCGAGGATTATCGGTTGAATAAATAATTTATTTACTCGTCAGAGCGAATAAATCTCTCGTTCTCGAGATTCGTTTTACGACATTACGAGTTCCTAGAAATTCGCACTTTCGTCGGAAGCAAACAAAATGGCACGTCCTCGGCAACGTCCTCGTCATGTGCAACGCGTCACACGCGCCACCGACACATCCACGATGTTTCCTTTATCGTGTCTCGTCGTGGCACCTCAGGTGTATCTGAGTCACCCGCGACAGCTTTAATTACGCGTGCATGGTAATTAACCGACGCAGAGTCCCATCTGTGTATCCATTCGTCGTGTCGCAAATTCGATTCGGGACGTCGTGCGTCTCGGTCGAAAAACATGAATTATTCCATAGCCTGGAATAGTTGCTTGGTAGTCGAACAAACTTTTCAGCTAATTAGTTATTCGCGCGAATCAGTAATTAACGCATTTGCGATTCGCGGTCGCGAATCACGCGTTTTTACTCGATCTCGCCGCTTCGCGATCGTTTTCTCGCCAGTGACCAGTCAACGAGCTGTGACGGAAGCCATTAGAGGTTTCCCGATGAAAATCTCGATTCCTTCTATCGACGCCGGATCTATGCGGCTGGATTTCACTCGCATAGCCGAGCGATTTATTATTAACTGTCAAGGATCTTGCTCGGTCAATTTTTCAATTAAAAAACTTTGCGTGACATTGAGGCAGGCGGCCGTTGAATGGGGGTCGAAGAGAATGCTCTATGAATAGCTGCGAGGAGAATACTCGCTCAATGGTCCTTATTAATGTCATTCAGACACTTTGGATATGTGGAACGTTTTCTTTATCCTTTTTATGATTTATGGCTTGTGCGAATTATTTATGAGAATCGGCGGATTTGGTTCTTTCTTCGAAATATTTCCTATCGTACAGTGTACATCATTAAGGTACATCTAAGATAGGTAAGGTATCGCGTAGTGTTGCGTATTAGCATTCGATCTTTTACCGATGACTTTAATCGTCGAGGAAATACGGTTTCTAGATAGTGTTGTTGAGTATGGTTATTATGTAAATTAAATCGTTGTTCGTTCTGTATGCGACTGCTATTTTATCGATACGGTTTACATATTTCCTTTCTATATGTATCGTGGATTCCCCATTCTGATGTACAGTCCACGATATAGGTCTACGATAGGTCAAACGATAGTGCGGAGTAAACAAATGTACGAACCTTTTAATTTAAAAAACAATAATCTCTTATCAACTCGTAAAACATAAAAAAATTTTAATTAAATAATGTCATGTAATAATAAATAATATACAAAATGTGATGCAAATGGCCGCCACATTGTGTCTTTTCTGTAAATAGACAGTAAATTTGAAATATCTCCTAAATTAATGATTTTTTAATATAAATAGGTTAATACTTTCTTGTAAAGAATATGAAGGAGCATCAGTTGATGTAATAAAAAGTATATGATTCCATTTAAAAAAATATTAATGACCTCCGTATGTCCTCTACACGTCCATCTACAAGAAAACTAGTACCATCAGAATATGCCTCTCTCAAAATCATTCAGCCTCATCCGAAACATTTTTCGCTATGCGTAATAATAATGACGTATATCTAGATGGCAATATGTGGTGACCCACCCTATGTATATTGTTACAGATCGCGCTTAGAATTCTTCTTTTACGAGTTCGATCGCTAGATTGCCGAAGATTTCCAATGAATACGTTGTTGAATTAGCTTAACCCTATTGAACGTTGACAACTCTACTCTCTGACATCTCTTTTTATAGTTAACAGCCGTGATTATTATTTACCCGAACATTGTTGAAGATGCTGGTTTACTTTTTTCCGGAAGTTACGATTCGCTCTTGTTACTTGGCTGAGTACAGGGTAGATATGAGAAACTCGTAATATATTTATAACAATAAATTTACTGACTATTTACAGCTATTTAAGAGCGATTCCTTCTCATCCAAAAACATGCTACCTTCTTATGGACATGTCTCATTCTCACTCGTTTATATCTAACCAACTGCCCAATATGGTCCCACGACTCGTGCTAACTCGTCAGAAGATCATCTTCTACGGAACGATACCGAGGATGATCCCTAGATCTCGTTCCATCGTAACTGAAAGCGTGCATGCTCTTTGAACGCGACAAATCCCAGATACCTGAGAACCTTTAACCTGTTTCTGAATATTCATGTCGATGGGAAAACAGGGTATCGTTAGTCTGTCGTAATAGGCGGTCAGCTGCATGGGAGCCGGTGTCAGCTGCAGTTTTCATGAAGAACGACATGGCCGCGGTGTTATCAATAATGCGGGGAGACTCGTGCCTTTTCCGTCGGCTCTATTTATGACGGAAAATCTATAACGGGCCAAAGGACTGGTGCCGGGTTATTGACTGAAACGTTCGCTGGTAGCACGAAACGTTACGTAAAGTCTGCACCCACGGCTGCTACCAGACTGCCTTCACGAGCATCGTTTATGCCTCGAGCAACTCCGCGAGTATCGCACGATCGATGGACACGTGCTCGTCATCTGCCAAACCCTCATGACCACCCTTCTACTCTATTTAACCCTCGATCGTCCGATCCACTGACCCCGGATCCTCTTCTCGTTAGTCTTACCCTTCTGCCCTGGTCGCACTGAGACTTCTGTCCTCAACGGACTCCAATTCAGGCTTCTATTCCGCTTCTGATTCGATTCAGACCTCTGTTCCGATTAGGCTCGGATTTTTATCCCTTTCACGCTTAGACCTCTGTTCTGATTAGGCTGAGATATCTATTCTAATTAGACTCGGACTTTTATCCTATTCGCAGTCAGTCCTCTTTTCTGATTAGGTTCAGACCCCTATTCTAATGACACTTAGACTTGTATCCTATTCACACTCAAATCTCTATTCTAATTAGACACACACTTCTATCCTATTCGCATTCAGACCTCTGTTTTGATTGGGCTTAGAGCTCTGACCTGACCAAACTCATATCTAAGCGTCTGTGCTTACTAGACTCAGACCTTTGTTTCGATTAGGATTAGACTTGTGTTCTGGTTAAACTTATATCTCTGTTCCAATTAAACTCAGACCTCTGTTCTAATTAGACTCAAGTTTCTGTCCCGTTCACACTCGATCTTCTGCTTTGATCAGAATCAGACTTCTATTGCGACCAGAGTTAGCCTCGAACACAAACCTTTGTCCTGATACGTGACCACTTTCCAATTTCTGGTGAATCACGTTCGACTGGTCGAAATCCATCGATGGAAATGGAACTTTCGAATTCTGTCAATGTCACCTTTCCCGTCTGTTAGCTTCGATCCAGTTAATTCTAGACATCGCGTTAGCTACATCCGCACGAGCCAGACGCAAAAGTGGGATTTTGAATAACGAGGATGTTCCTTGCCGTTCTCTGAATGAAATTTACGACTGCTTGGAATGTCTGACTCCTATTGCGCGAAACGTAAATGTACAAGCGATATATAAATCGCGAGGCATTCGGGTTCAGAAATGAGACTTCTGGGTGTATTTTCCGGTTGAATGTTCGACGAAATGATCCAAGAGTTACGAAGGTTATAAAGTTCTTGCGATCCTAACAGTTCCCAAGAGTCGTAAGGTTTTTCCCAGGTAATAGATCGTAAAGTCCTCGAGTCGAGGAAGAATTCATGTATTTTTCTGCCCGACACGAGTCCTGCTGATCTTGCTCACGCGTGTTTGCCCTCTGCTCAGCCAACAGTCGTTCCTTCGTGTTCGTGGTTCGCTTTTTACCTCGCGAGTCGATCCGAAACGGTATTTTCCCGACAGTTTCGAACCCTCGGACTCGCGTTTCTGTTAAAACTCGCACGAATGTGAAAGCGGCGGGAGTTATTCGGACACGGTATCCTTCCCGCCGGTACCGCCATTGTTCACGGAACTGTCGCGGGAAATTTCTTTTCGTCGCGGCAGCGTGTGTCACGGTGCAGTCGCGACAGGAATTCACGATCCTTTACGTGACTCCACCGTTACGAAATTCCCGGCATTCATTTTGAAATCGTTCCGTTTATATTTAACCCGATCTTGCTCATCGACGATCGCGAGTACTCGCGAGGGAAATAGGCCGGATGCGCGAAACGCGTCGAGAATAAAAGGAGAAGGAAAAAGAAAACAGAGAAGAAAGGAAAGAAGGAGGCAATGGAACTCTGGTTTCAGCGTTCTTTTCTTTTTGCTTGCAGTCTGGATGGTAGATCTTGCAAGGACGAGATATACAGGATGGGCATAGGCGCTGGATACTGCGAGGGGAACTTGAACTTTGCCACGGCCTCGGAGGATGACGAGGTATACACCAAGAAGAAAGTCTCTAGGGTGAGTTTCTTTGCATTCTCGTTCTTATTTTTCGGTTCAAATAGGGGTCGAGGGAAAACGTGGGGGGAGGAGAGCAAAACGTAAAAAGATATCGGTGAACATTCGAACGATTTCATTGTTTCTTTCATCTTTTTATATAACATCTAGACGAATTAACAAGGTATGTCTACATACCCCAAAAAATCATTTTCCCCGTCATTTAACACGCCAACGCTTAAACGTTGACGACCAGCCACAGTAATTTTCATTTTTCTACGCCTATGTAATTTATCGTGTTTTTCTTTGCTTAAAATTATTGGTATTTGATCTTATTTGTTAATATGCGTTGGAAAATGTTTTCTCTAGCATATAGGATTGTTAAATCGTTATCTGCTTTTTATTTTATTACGCAATAGTTATTCAACTCTTTACGTTTTCTCAAGTTCATAATACGCGTAACCCGAAATTTTGCTGGGCATTCTTCCGTGAAGAAATTCGTACAAATATTATTTTGTTGTACATATAAAAAGAATACTATGCCTCAACGTTCAATGAAGGATACAAATTTAGCTTTTTAGTAACAGACTTGACGTTGTAGGTCGTTTTAATCGTTCAGAGCTAAGAGCTAGGTTCTTCTTCACCGAATCTACGATCAGTTAGTGTAAAGTGGTCTTTCATAAGAATACAAAAGAAAAATATTAGATACATTGAAGGAGAACATTTCTTATTTGTTAAAATATAACCACAATAATTTTAGTGCAGTAATTGAGTTAACTCTTTGTGGCACAGGATTTCAGATAATAAAATAGACCCATGCTGCATAGGAATTTGATTGCGTTTTAAATGAAACAAAATTGGTATATTTTTATTAACAAAGTAATCGCATAATGTAAAAACATAAAATCAGGAAAAAGAGTTTGTCGCAATAAACCTTCCGCTTGCAACAATTGATGAACCTATACAGGCATGTTGAATGTTGCCAACACAAGCGAATACATTTATAACATTTGTCGAAGGTATTACCGACTGCTTTACGTAAATAAGACGAAATATAAACCTATGCGCATGCAGCTACTGCAATATTTCGAGGTGAGACTAAAAATGTCCCGCCATGCATTACGGTGCATCAAAAAGGTAGGACACTTTTAATTCCAACGTGCCTCAAAGAGTTAAAAGTCCATTATACGCCCGGTCCTACGTGAAAGGATAGAGGTCAAATACCCGATCGTCAACGTGTTAAGAGATTTTCTTCAGCTATAACTAGCATCCTTGCATCGTATAATTGGTCCAATCTTACGATTATCGCAGAATCGTGTCAGCTTCTCGGTAAACCAAGCCTAATTACAAATTTCTTTCGCAATATGTCCAACGTTCCGGGTATCCCCAAAAGCAAAGTATTCCCTAGAAAGCAAGTTGCGAAATTTCGCCGTAATGCTTAAAGAGGGATTGCAAACAGCAATTAATGTATACAATGCCTTTCGATCGTAAAATAACAGATGTGCACGCGAAACGAAAATCGTGCCGCCTTAGCGGCAACACCGATTTCTAAAACAAAATCGAAATGCCGTCATTATATTCCTTAACGTTCCTTTCCGAGACAGTAATCAGTGGAATCGACCGAGTAATTATCGAAATAACAAAGGGTATCGTCAGCACGGTTGAATTTCGCGCGCGTGCACGCAGACCGGAAGGCCGCGGTCAGACTCGGCGCTCGAGGAACCTGTATTTAGGCCAGCATAGAGAAAGGTTTTCCGTGTTGTGTCGAATGCTGACGCAACGACTGGTCGCCGACGATGACGATCACGTTTCTCGAAAACGACGATTGCGACATTGCGACTGGGCGAAATTGGATTCGACGCTGAACCTATAAAGATCGAGATCCGTCTCGAACGCAGTCGCTTCTCTCGTTCCTCGGTTTTCGACGAATTCACGTTTGTATACGTCATTCGGTGGTCAATGAATAGTGAATGGAAAGTATCGCATGACGTATCGAAATGACGGATGTAAAAATTCATTTTTCGCGTATTGCATTTCTAATCGTAGTTATTAATAATGCTGATTGCTGTACGCTATTATGCATGTTGTTATCTTGGATTCTATTTTTCGTCAGTTATTTTTTTTCTGGAATTCTTTCCATTTTCTATTTTTTTTTCTTTTTTTCTTTTTTTTGCTTATGATATTAATCGTTGAATTGAAAATTATCTTTAACGGAACGTTACTATACTGTTTAATTAAATTTCGAATTTTATTTCATTTAAATGTTTCTTTATTTGGTTTTTCGTACTAGGAGGGGATGGATGGAATACTTTATATTGGAAAAATTTTTGCGCATGATTTTCTTGAATTTTCGCGTTAATTCTAGAACCGTATCGAATTTAATACATATATCATACGCACGTCGTAAAAGTTCCTTTGAACGATAGAGCGTGCTCGTAAATTATCCTAGCAAGCAGTATGGTTCTGATAGACGGTGAAATGGTACCGTTCAAGTTGCTGACACTCGTATGACTGTTCGTAGTCCATAATTGTATGCATTTAATACCGAGCAGTAAAACGAAAAAATTGCCGATTAACTTCGAATTGCAACGTAGAACTTGTTACTTCGTTAACTATCACTTACTATCAATTTGCAAACACTAAATTCCGTTTAACCCTTTGCACTCAAGAGGCGCTTTTCAGTTGTCATTTGGTAAAATTTCGAAGCTCGATATTAATTAATATATCAAATTTAAGATAAAGTAACAGTGTGCGAGGCATCGAAATTAAATAATTCTACGTGTTAATTATTATACGATTTCTTATTTACTGCTTAAAAAAGTATCGGCAGCTTTATAGTAGAAAATTTGTCAACTTGTATCCTTTAGCCAAAAAATCGTCGATTGCAAAGGGTTAATATCTTTAACGTCTAAAACTCTTATTTTTCGTACACTATTGGCAATAATACGTGACAACAGAAGGGCCCATTTCAAATCGGCATCGTACGGCACTGATCGACCTTCGATCCCATTATTATATATTAAATAATATTTATTTTTTTATCGAATATCACAAATCATTGGGCGAAAAGAACGTCGACACGTTACATTCCATGCAAATTAACCTAGTGAAAAAGTTTTCCAAAAACATTAAATGAAAAATTATATCTTTACTTTCTAACGAAGCTTTTGAGAGTTTGCATGAAGCATTATGCATGCAGCAGCCTTTTTTGCCACAAAATAGGACTTCGAAATAAAACATTTCTACACTTTTTCAACAATTATAATTAATCATTTTATTATATCGTAACACTTATTTCAAAATCACTTTTCTATTATAACGTAGCATAAAGCATTTCCAAATTTTCTTTACAATTATTATAATTAATTATTTTATCATATTCTACTACTTATTTTTTCATAAGTTTTATATTATAATATACTATATATATATATAAGCATTTCCAATCTTTCTTTACAAATTATTATAATTAATTATTTTATTATATTCCAATACTTATTCCAAGTTCCCCATAAATCGTTACCAAACTTTCCCAATAATGATCGTAACTAATTCTCGCGTTAAGTAAACAAAATGTCAACTTCCATTGCACACACCACACACGTGTGGCAAAAATGCATGCGTGTCCATCGACCGCAAGTGGTACTCGCGAAGGTATCAAAATACCAGACATTGGCCGATCCAAAATTTACTGCTGCACGCGCACCCTTACCTTTCATTCAAACTCCGGCTCGGGTTACCAACTATTATATTAACGAGTGATCCGTGCCAAAAACGCGAGGCGAAGGCAATACACCTGTTAAACTCGTTGACGTATTGCTCGGATCGTCGGCGTCGCGACGTTGCTTGGTCCGCACTTCAATTTTGCGGGACAGGTGTGACGGATCCTTCACTTTCCATCGATACCTTTGCAAATTTACGATCTACGTCACCCACGATTTTTCTCTTTCGCGAATATTTCCCGACCATAATGCCTCGCGTTCGATCCTCCGTGTCGGTACTTATGTCCTTTACCCTTCCATCCTTTTCTCCGACCTCTTTTACCACTCAAAATCACGCGAAGCGGGGTAAAATTAATATTCACGAGTGTCGGTACACGTGGACGATTTGCATTCCGTATATCGTGGATGGAAACATATTTTTCGCGGCTCGATAAATCTGATAACGAAATTTAAGCGAGACCGCGACCTTTTCAGTAAATCCACGTGCAATTGGACGCATTTGTTCTTGTTTATTTCTTTATTGGTCAGGTGGGAGGTCGAAGAATAATTGGTGCAAGTAATAATAGTAGGAGTAATATCGTACTTTACGTAGCGATTTTAGTATCGTGGTATAAAATTTCCGCCGATAGAATAATTAAACAAATTAAAGATAACCTTAGAACTAATATTCTATAATTGACATTCTGTGACTAATGGAAAGTTACGAAAGCCATATTATCGAATATTAGCAGAATATTATAAAATAAAAGTTATAATAAAATTGAATAGCATTTCTGATATAAGAATAGACTAAAATGTTTCGAATTCGTAATAAAATTGTGTTAATTATATATATAGAATTTATATTTTTAATAAAATTTCTTGGATTAATGCAACATTATTTTATAAAGTGAAAAGTAGAGGACGATACATAAAAAGGATAAAATAGGAGATAATTGAATACTAAAGATAATGCGAACAGTAATACCATAGTAAAGAAGTATAGAAGAGGTTTAATAAAGTAGGTGGTTTGTTGGCTTAAACTCGAGGATATAGAATGAAATTCTGACTTGGCAAGAGTCCATTTCGAGGAACGTTAAGTTCGAACAGCCGTTAAGTACAGGTGTACATAAGTCGCATTATAGAAACAGTTTATTCTTGATATATTCAAATTGCAATCATTTTCGTCTAAGTAATATTCCAGCCTGTTCATTTCAAACTTGTTTTCCTTCATTTTTTCCTTTACCATTGGCTAATGATTCCATTCATCTTTGTCGCATTATCGATTGAGTGAGTCTCCTATGACTCACTGTCACTCAATAT